ATGATAAACCAATATGGCAGTGTAGTGTACACCGTAGATGGTCTCAGATAGCGACGGTGAGGGCTATGAGTATCACTGCCAACAGCTTACTGCCAAGGCCGAAATTGGACTACGATATGAGTTACGACGCGACTGTGAAAGGTGCGAGTGTAGTAGTGAAACATATGGACTAATCCTTGCATCTAAGTGTGTGACTAGATAGGATGGTCCAATCCAAGTGGTGGAGCAAGAAGTCCATGGAGAGAAAGATGGACATGAGATGATGGTGATCAAGCTCCAACTTGGAAAACAAGAAAGAGAAAAACAAAAACCAAGGGTTCATCAAGGCAAATGTATCAAATAGGTTTTTGTTTTGGTGATCAAGACACTATAGAGAGTGTGATCACATTTAGGATCGATAGCCGCACTATAAAGAGGGGAAATCTTTGGCTAAGTGGTTATCGAGTGCCACTAGATGATATGATTCTTGCATATGCATTTAGGAACCTAGTGTGCTAACATTTGACCATTGAAAAATACTTTGAAAAATGCTAACACACATGCACATGGGTTATACACTTTATGGTTAGCAACTTGGAACCAAGGGTGAAGTGTTTGAGGTCATAGAAAAGGAAAAAGAGGAGAAGGTTGCAACCGGACCCTGCTGGCGTAGGAGGTCCGGACTCTGGCCGCGGGCCCGGGCCACTTCGGAACAAAACCCTAGGCCAGAGGGCAGTGGTGGTTGCTCTGGACCCTGCTTGGGGGTAGGTCCGGACCATCTCCCGCGGGTCCAGTTGGACGCAGCAGAGGGAGCGCGCGGGCGCGGATGCTCCGGACCCAGGCGAGCAGAGGGTCTGGACCGAGAGCAACCGGGTCTGGCTGTGCGTGAGCAAGCAAGGAGGTGACGTGGCGCATGGAGGAGCTCTGGACCCGCACTGTGCGTGGTCCTGTTGGCGTGAGCGGACCGGGTCCAAAGCCATTTTATAGAGATTTAGTTTACTAACAAAGTGCTCTAGTATATTTATAGAGATTTTTATAGGTTATTCACCCCCTCTAATCATTTAGGACCTTTCAACATCTATCGTGCTATTTGAGGGACGGAGGATGGACTGCTGTTTGAGTAGTGCTACAGTTCTAGTAACATGCGTCTCCGAAACAAAGGATCTTAATACTCCGTTCCATAAAAAGAGTTGCTATGAGACTCGTGCTGGTAAAACTTTTTAAGTTTGATTATATTGGTAGAAAATATTAATAATATTTATATCTTTAAATAAGTTTATTATGAAAATATATTGAACAATCTATTTAATGATACTAATTATGTATCATAAATGCGAATTGATTATAGATCAGTTGGTTAGGTTTCTTGTGGTGGAATCTACCCACCCGGGTAGTCCTCGATTTGCATGGGTGCTCGTATTTCTCTGGATTTTTTCTAGGATTTAATGGTGCTATGCTTTTAGTGGTAGACGACGTCCCCGTCGACAGCAAGACGTCTGTGGTGACTTCGTTAATCTCAAGATCTGCCGGCTCAGTCATTCGAATGTGTTCATAGGAGTGAGTGTGCGTGCTTATTGTGGACGTCTGCGTTGTACTGTGTAATTCTAAAAAAATTACCTGTAGTTACTTTGAAGGTGCTCATAGGGGTGTGCATGCATGTTATGGGCGTCTGCGTTGTACTGTGTAATTCTCAAAATAAATTATGTATTATAAATATTAATATTTTCTTATATGCAGTTGGTCAAAGTTAAAAATCTTTAACTTCTTGAAAAACGAGAATAATACTTTTTGTGGGACACAGAGAGCATATGATTTGAGGGAGACTTACAATTACATATGCTCTGGGACTGGGCCATGCTGATGAAAGAGCAGCGGATAAGATCCGACACTTATATCTATAATACATCAAGCTACCGCTGTTTTTTTTACTTGTTTCAGACTTCAGCAGTGTCTAAAACATGCTGGGGAAATTGGTTATTATATAGCAATAATACATGTGAAACTACTTTTCTGATACCTAGTATAAGTTTTGGAAGTTTAATCCGATGCATTCCAACTTATGACAAGAGTAACCAGCTACAAAATGGAGAAAAATGTGTCCGTTTATGTCTGTCAGTGAACATACCCTACCCATGAGGCCATGATGCTTCGCTCGCGGCACAAGTCCAACCCAGTCATATGTTTTTTCCATCAAAGTAACAGAATGTGCATTTCTTCCCAAATACCTGGATCAAGCAATGCATCATTTCAGTTCAAAGCATGGAATTACCATCGCCAAACAATGACACAAATGCACGTAATTCTTCTTGGATTTTCAAGGCCATTAGTATTCAGCAAGCTTAAGATGTTGATTTGTTCAGTAGAATGTTTACTGTCTAAGCATCAAGTGACATAACGTTAAATATTCTAGCCAAAAAATGAAATGTCAAAAGTATTGAGAGGATCTGATGTAAATAAACTATATAAAATAATTGCACAAATGAATGTCACAGGAACAAAGGATGAAGGTGGGTTATACTATTGGGTATGTGTATGTGTCTTAAACCAAACTTGCTGCATAATTAGTGGAGAGGAATAGATATCAATCTGGCAAGGAGGAACTGGAACGTTAGTAAGTTTTGCTGCTTTTGTGATAAAAACGGAGCAGTCCAACATTTGTTCTTTTAATGTCATTATGGCCGTTTTCTTTGACGTGCAGTCCATGCTGTGTTTGGAATCAAGCCGCCTCGACATTCTTACCATCTGTTTGGCAGTTGATCAAAGTTGGGAAACAAAAAATATAATGTAAGGAGGTGTTTGGATTCAGGACTAAAGTTTAGGAGGTGTCATATGGGGATGTCGCATGGAGTATTCAGATACTAATAAAAAGATAAATTATAGAATCCGTCAGTAATCCACGAGACGAATTTATTAAGTCTAATTAATCCGTCATTATCATATGTTTACTGTAGCGCCGCATTGTCAAATCATAGACTAGTTACGCTTAAAAAATTCGTCTTGCAAAACAGTCTCAATCTGTGCATTTAGTTTCGTAAAATAGTCTATATTTAATACTACATGCATGTATCAAACATTCGATGGGACAACGACTAAAGTTTAGAAGGTGGAACCAAACACCCCTTAACCTTATTGAGTGGGGCTGCAACTCACTGCTGGCCAATTTGGCTAACAAAGAATGATACAATGTTTAATAAATGTCACCTAAAAGCATTTTTGCAGGTTCTGTTCAAAGGGATGTATCGACTTCAGTTCTGAGCTCTATTGCAGCTCATGGATGATCGCAAACATCAGATGATTGAGGCGTGTCGAGTTTTAAAATCCTGCGCCATGGAGTTCTTCGCATCCAATGGGTGGCCTTTCATTTTCCGTCTACAATAATATTATGGAACTGCTGTAAGCGTTTAAAGTGGGTGTATTTAGTTAACTTTGAACTGATGCCTCTTTTTTAAAGAGGACTAAACCTGGATTTTTCCATTCACCATGTTCGCTACTCTTATAATCCATATTTTTCAGTTTGTTTTTTCAGCCGAAACAGTGTTTTTCTCTCATAACAAACCAGCCGGAACAGTGTTCAGTTTGTTTTTTCAGCGAAGCGAACGGAGCCATTATCTAAGAAAAAGAATAGTAATAGTACATTAAAGACATAAAGACTGCAAAATTGGGCCAGCAAACACAAATGAGAGTCTCTCATCCATATTTCATCCCCTACTTCTCAGGGTACTCCAACCGATCTCCTAAATTTTTCCTACTTTTACACTGTGTTGTCATGGACCCTGTTTATTGGTCCCACTTGTCAGCTTTATGGAAGAGAGAAAACAGGATGAGGGAGAGGACGAGGGACTCCTACATCTGGGGGTTTAGGAGAGAGAAATGAGAGTCTCTCATCCATCGGGGCTTAATAGGGGTTCGGTTGGAGAGATTTTTGATGTGTTTGAACTCTCAAAATAAGATGAAGGCTTAAGTAAAAGTTCGGTTGGAGTTGTTCTAATCATTAAAACAGGCATCTTGCATATTTACTGCCCTGCAAAGTTGACAGATGAGGGCTCTTCCCAGACTCCAATGTTTTTTTATAAATAAAGGAGAAGCAAAGAACAAAGGTGTCAGAGTTTTTTCGTGACCGTGTCGTGGCATGTTTTTCATTAAATAGAAGAAAAGTTTTCATTACAATCATGCCTGATCACAGTAATCCCTAGATTACCGAGATGAGCACCTCCCAGGAAACACGTGGTTGTGATTTACAGTTGTCGGAGTAACCCATAAACCTACAAAACTGCTTGATACATCGAGGGCAAGGGATTATTAAAATTTTCAGACTGCGGAAATGTTCAAATTAGCAAAAGAATTAACTGCTGAAGCGAAAATTGGAGCCAATTCCCATCAGATTAATTAACATGATACAAATATTTATATTCGGGATTAAGAGAACCCTTTCTAGTTTATGCATCTTTCGTGCTGCCTTTTTGTCTCAGTCGCCTATTTCCCTACTGCTGACCACTTGAGGCTGGCGCTCAGCTACCAGCGCCTTGCCATGGCGTGGTGCCGAGGCGGCTGTACTGTGTTCTTGCGCCAAAGCCATCCTTTTGTCCGTTTCCGTTGGTAGCGTGGGAAACTGATGCAGTGTGCCTGCAGCCTGCAATCTTTGCTTTTTTTTCCCCATAATGCTCCACAGGATGGACTCGACCCGCTCGACATGACCCACCCGTGTCGCCGCACTCCGCCTTATCCTTCCAGTGCCGCTCGTCAGTTCGCTTAAAAAAAAAAACACAGCGCTGCTCTCTTCTCCGGCACCAGGCTGCTCGTCACAGGCAGCGTGAGGCCGCTAACCGTGGCCTTCTCCGGCGCCCTCGAGCGCCGCAGCGCCGCATCCATGCCCATCCCACGCTGTCCACAAGACAGCGCCGCTTCCTTCTCCAGCGCGAGGCTGCTTGCCCCAGGAAGCACAAGGCCGCTCGTCGGGGCCTTCTCCGGCGCCCTCAAGCGCCGTGGGCACCGCTGATCCGCCTGTCAGACGCTTGCCGCTCATGGTGTCATCTCCACTCGCCGACGCCGTCTTTGCCACCGGTCGCCTCGCGTTATGGCCACTGCAGACGCCTCGACCTCCTCGACCCGGCAGAGTGCATGGCTCGGTGCAGATCTGCGCTGCCGCTAGAGCCGCCACGTCGAGCCTCATCCCCAAGCTTCCCTTCGTCGTACGTGGAGCCACCGCAGTTCCCCACCAGGTAGGTCGTGGCCGCCGACGACGATGTGTTTCAAGTGTTTCAGATTTATGTTTCAGGTGTTTCAGTTGTTTCAGACGTTGTTTCAAATATTTCATCTAGATATTTCAAAAGTAGATCTTGGTGTTGCGCATGTTGCAAGGCTACACACGCATGTTTCAAGTGTTTCATCTGTTTTAAACTTATGTTGCAAATGTTTTATCTCGATGTTTCAAAAGTAGATCGGGGCGTTGCACATGTTGCAATGGCTATACACGTATGTTTCAAGTGTTTCATTTGTCTTCAGACGTATGTTGCATATGTTTCAAAAGTAGATCGGGTGTTGCACCGTGGCGGTGGCTGGCGGGGAGCGGCCTACCGCAAAGCTTTGGCTCCTACCTCACGCCTTCCTCGCGCAGGGCACCTCGCCCTCTCCTCTCCTCTCCTCTCCCTCTCCTCCCTTTCCCTTCCCTCCATCTCGCCATGGGCGATGGGCGTGGGACGAGGGAGCTGCGTGCGTTGGGCGCAAGTGAGGAAGCTCCATACGGACGGACGCTGCCTCTGGAGCAGGATTGGGCGCTGGACGGAGGGGTTTGTGTACATCGCGGTTTCCTTTTTTTGGTTCAAGCATACATCGCTTTTGTGAGCGAGGTGCAGGCGCGGGCGAATAGGAGCCACGTCCAGATGCAGGCCTAAGGCCAGACGTCCGGACACGAGGCTTGCGTTTTCTTTTCTTTTTTTCTTTTTTTTTTTTGCTTGGCCGTTTTCATCCCTACTCCTATGCCGATGCAGCCCAACTAGTACATAGCCCAATACAGGAAAGCCCACTCAATCTCCCTCACGGGCTCACCTAACCCGGTGACCCGTGGCTTCTTCCCCAATCGGAACAATCCGAAGTTGCCGACCCAATCCGGCATTCCCTGTCGCTAGCGGCGGCCGGCAGCTCGACTTGGCAGGAGAAGGGCAGTGGGCGCAAGGGTGCTGGGTGGCATACGGCAGGAGTCGCCGCGGCCGCTGTGGCCTGTGAGCCGCTGAGCACTGAGGGGCTGAGGTCGCGCCGCACGGCCGCAGCCAGCGAGCAGAGAGGAACGCAACGACGCAGCAGAGAGCAGGCAAAAGGTCCTGACGCTAGGCGGAGCGGCAGCACCGCATCACGCAGCCAGAGGCAAAGAAGCAGCGCAGCACGGTGGCAACTAGCAGGCAGCCATCGAAGGTAAGGAATTAAGGATTCATCATGAATCGGCTATGCTCCTTCCGTTCCAAGTTGCAGTTCATTCTCTCCTAAATCAAACTTGTCTAACTCTAATCAACTTTATATAAAATGTAACAATATTTGGAACATTTAATTAGTTTCATTAAGGCCATGTTTGGTTTCTACGGGCGCTCTAAAATTTATGTCACATCGAATGGTTAGACACATGTATGGAGTATTAAATATAGACTAATTACGAAACTAATTACACAACTTGTGACTAATTTGCAAGACGAATCTTTTAAGCCTAATTAGTCCATGATTTGACAAAATAGTGCTACAGTAAACATGTGCTAACGACAAATTAATTAGGCTTAAAAAATCGTCTCGCAAATTATCCTTCATCTATGTAATTGGTTTTGTAATTAATCTATATTTAATGCTCTTTATTAGTATCTAAACATTCGATGTGACATGAATTTTAAGAGCGATTAAAGAACCAAACACCCCCTAAATTCATTTACATGAAATAAAATTCTCTATGTAATATGCCTTGGTCACGGACGATTTGGAATGGAAATCGGTTGGCCTATAAGTATTGATTCATGGGGCTCATTATATGGATAGCTTGTATGAAGAAACAGACAAATCATAAAGTGCTGACAGCTAATGTATATTAGCGGGCGATGTGGCTCGCAGACATAGATAGCTTGCATGAAGAGATAGCTATTATAACTACATGCTTGTGAGTGCTGACGTGGCTAACCTGCACGAAACAGATAGCTATGCTATGGGTTTGCTTTTAAAATTAGGACAAAACTAAAGTGCCCTATAATTTGAAATGGAGGCAGTATAATTTTTGTAGCTGATGTTCACAATGCAATCGATTTTTGTACATGTTACTGGATTCAGTTCAATTGTTAGTTTGAAGTGGCTGCTGTTATTGACTGTCATATGAGTTATTAAGCTCATTTGTCCTCTAGCTTTGCACCAGTTTGATGTATGCCAAAATCATTGATCATTTGACAGGTTGTGTGTCCCAAAACCTGTCTCTTGCTGCATTGAACTCTTTTGCGCCTGGAATGTCAGCACCGAAGCCCATTTCTCGGCTTGTTTCCCATGTCATCCTTGATTTGGATGGCACCCTCTTAAACACAGGTGACTGAAAATTGAAAACACTAATAGTTCATGGTTTTATAGGTTTAGAGTGTGTACTAAATTCACTTGTCTAAGCTAACTTTGATTCTCTTGGTTGTACTAATTAGCAGATTCCGTTGTAAGTAAGGTGGTAAAACCATTTCTTGTCAAAAATGGGAAAACGTGGGACAGCAAGAAAGCTCACAAGCTAGTTGGGAAGACACCTTATGAAGCTGCAGCTGTTGTTTTAGAAGACTATGGGCTCCCTTACTGTACATAAGAGTTCCTCTCAATTATTACTCCAGTGTTCAGTGAACAGTAATGCCATTGGAACTTCTATGTGCTTGTATATTTTCTTATATTTGGGGGGAAAATCACACTGAATTCTTTTTTTTTATGTGATGACCTGTTCCAGTAAGTTCTCTTCTTGAGTTAAATATTCTTGATTGACTACACCTCATATTGCAGGTGGTGCAACATAAAAGCTCTTCCAGGAGCTACTCGTCTGATAAAACATTTAAGGAGTAATGGGGTCCCTACTGCTTTGGCTTCGAACTCACCAAGATCTAACATAGAAGCCAAAATTTCATGCCATCAAGGTATCTCTGGAAAATATGGTTACAAGGAATCCTTTTTTCTGTTTATGTGGTAGAGTTACTTACTAGTGAATTTGTTCCTACCTTGTATAGGATGGAAAGAGTGTTTCTCTACAATTGTTGGTGGAGACGAAGTAGAGAAGGGGAAGCCATCCCCAGATATGTAAGACATCATGTTGCATGATGCCATCATCTCTGATACTCCAGATTTGCTTAACTTGTCTCAGTTTTTTTATTTCCGGTTGTCTGTTGTGATGGTATTCAAGATTTTTGGAAGCTGCTAAAAGAATGAACGCCACTCCAAATTGCCTAGTAATCGAGGATTCCTTGTAAGTTTTTTCTTCAAAAACTGTATGCTATATGTGGTAATACTCTTCACAAAGACATTATGTTCCCTCCTCCCACGTCCTGAAAACATAGGAAGGCTAGTTAAAATCATGTTGTGGATATGCTTGTGGAAATTCATGAGATTTTAACTAGTAACAAGTAATGTTTTCCTTGCTGTATTTTATGAAGAGAATATTGTTATACACCATATTTTGACATATCATTTTACATATGAAGCGTTATAATAATAAGATACTGTGGTACAATCCCGTTGTCTTGGTTTAGTAATACGCAGCATGGCACCTGGAATTTCTACTGAAGTAAATGTTTATTTTCTCTTCCATATACATGTATAATTCTTCTGGGCTGACATGACATCACATGTATAATCTGTATTTTTTTCTGATAACCGTTCCTTTTACTGGTTCAAACTCTATAATATAGGATGAAGTACTTTAGTGAAGACATTACCTTTAACATTGTAAGTAATGGTTGTGCTAGGCCAGGTGTTACAGCTGGAAAGGCTGCAGGGATGCATGTCATAGCTGTACCTTCAATACCAAAAAAGACTGCTGAGTTCAGTTCTGCTGATGTGGTGATCAATTCCCTCCTTGATGTGAGGCCTGAGAAATGGGGTTTACCACCATTTAATGATTTTACGTTTGAATTCTTGAGCTTGTATATTAGTTTTATTCATTCAGAGGAGAATATATCTAGTCTTTTAGCTTATCCGTCAATAAATTTTCTGCACAGGGATTGAAGATACCTTACCAATAGAACCGTGGTTTATCAGTGGACCAGTGATCAAAGGATTTGGCCGTGGTTCTATAGTACTAGGAATACCAACAGGTATGGTGGGCTAGAAACATAAAGGTTGAATATTACAACTGTTTTGAATCTCAGTTTTTTTTTTTCATTGAATGGACCGTTTCAGATGTTTCCCCAACTAGCTGGTTTACTTTTGAATCAGTTCAGCATTTTGCCTCACTAAGAAAGTTGCTAAACAAAACTATATGATAGACCAATGGTTTCATGCTGGTTTGCAAGCTCCCATCTGAAATGGACATTATTTGGTCATACTTCTGGAATATATACATAGCAGCCCCTTTGTGTTATACTATTCACCAATACAATTTCTTGTGTACAAGGTTGGGTGATGTGCCATCTTTTTTTGTTAGAATGGCAATATCCTAACCATTACTAGTCCTCATATCTTGGCCATTATTGGATCTAATAGCACATCATGATATCATATCTGCATGAGCCTGTATTGATTAAACTAGAAAGGACATTATAGCATTTTAGTTCTTTTTCTTACAGTACTCATTTCTGTATAATAAGTATAGTCATATAGCAATGGAGCAATTATTTTGCTCATTCTATTATTCGCTCTATTCCAAATTGTAAGACGTTTTGGCTTTTCTAGATACATTGCTTTTATTATGTATCTAGACATAGTGTATATCAAAGCTATGTATCTAGAAAAGCCAAAACGTCTTGCAATTTGGAATGGAGGGAGTAGCTTTCAGTTCTGTTTCCTATGTGGCGAGAACACACGTGTAGTAATGTAGTATGGTGGTGTGGCAGCCAGGTGTGCTGCTGGCCAGCCAGGGCTAGAATCCTGGGTCTTACTAAAAGGGCCCCTCACCAGACCAGAGTTAGGCCAAGTTTTTTGTTTCCTGTATGGTTATTATTTTGATGTTTTTTCTTCAATAATTCTGCCCGTTTATGTTATGCTGTTCTTTTTTCTGGATCATATAGAATAGTATACTACTACTCTATAGGAGTTCATATTTGTTTCTTTGATACTACTACACTTAATTTTTCAACTGGAACATTGATGGTTTTTATTTTGTACTGTAGCTAATTTACCTGCAGAGAACTTTTCTGATGTAGTGTCCGAGTATACATCTGGGGTATACTTTGGCTGGGCTGGACTTTCAACACGTGGTATATATAAGATGGTTATGAGTGTTGGCTGGAACCCATATTTTGGCAATACTGAGAAGACAGTAGTGAGTATTCTTTACAGCCATTTCCATGCTCATTATATTACTTTGTTTTAAAAGACTTCGATTGCAGGAACCTTGGTTGCTTCATAATTTTGGTGAGGACTTCTATGGTGAGGAGCTGCGCCTTGCCACTGTTGGCTACATAAGACCTGAGGTAATTGAGAGCAAAACAAATATTTTAGCAGCGACAACTGATCCATGAGTTGGAATGCATACCTGATGTGACATCCCTGCCTAATTCTTAGGCCAACTTTCCTTCGCTCGAGAGCTTGATAGAGAGGATTCAAGAGGATGGGAGAATAGCAGAGAAGGCACTAGACTTACCGATGTATGCCAAGTACAAAGACTCACCATATCTGAGAAATACTTTGCAGCTGGGAAGTACTACTGATGACAGCCAGGCTGAGCTGAATTCCAAGTGACAAGCCCCTGCAGCTGGGCACTAAATAAGTTGCCGGTTATTGTCGTGTTCGTGATAGAGTGAAATACACTGGTATTGATGCAGAAACGATTGGACTCTTGTTGACTTTATAGGCTTATACGCAGTTCTTTCCACTTTTAGAACCAGTGTTAGTTGGTTGCACTATATGGTGGTTCCTCAAAGAGGGGTGTTGATACCCTTTCTAAAGAACATGGTGGAATGTTGAAAGTTGAATACAGGGAGATGGTCTGCACTTCATGAAAGCATCTAGGCCCCTAGTTAGGTTTCGGTGATTAATAACAATACAAGATTACTATGATTAACGTGTGTTTTGCAGAGGCAATTAAGTTAAGTCATGGTAATGGAGATCGATTGGACAATCATGGTGGTCATGCCCCTACGATGGAAATCGTTTCGGTTTTCAAAGGATGGACGATAAGGTTAAGGATGACTAGTTCTAAGTGTCAATTGGAGTTGAAGAGACACTTAGAGTAGTTTAGGACTTTGTTTTTCCTTTGGCCGTACTATTAAGGGGTATGGACGGGGAGTTAGGTGTGGTGCACACTTTGTCAAAACTAGCGCTAGGTAGCTCCTACATATGCCGAAGATTCAATGGAGCAAACTTCATTCACGCATGATCGAGAGTTAGAAGTGAATGGAGGGTCAAATACTGACCGGACGTTGGCTTCGGTGTGACCGGACGCTGGCGCAGAGTCCGGTCAATTCATTTGACTGAGGTGAAATCGTTCGGTGTGACCGGACGCTGAGAGCCAGTGTCCGGTCGTTTTCAGTAAGGTTCCAAAGAGGGAAAATCGTGACCAGACGCGTCCGGTCACACTGTAAACACTGGAGTTCGGGGTGTACTGACCGGAGCGTCCGGTCAACATGACCGGAGCGTCCGGTCAACCCACAGAGGCACGTAACGGTTCGTTTTTCAGCCCATGTTATAAATAGGAGCTCCACTCGTGTGTGGAGTAATTTTTGCTTATTCCAACAGCTGAAACACAACTTATAGAGTGCCAAGAAGAGTAAGGTCCTAGTGAGGTGATTGTGATTTGAGAATCCCAAAGAGAGACCTCATTAGTGAGATCAAGAGTAGCAAAGTGTGCATCCACCCTTCTCCCTAGGCTTGTCGTAGTCAAGTGAGAGTTCGTGCTTGTTACTCTTGGTGATCGCCATCACCTAGACGGCTTGGTGGTGATTGGAGAGCTTGGTGATCATCCGAAGAGCTTGTGGATGACCCAACTCAAGTTGTGAGCGGTTGTGGGTGATTCACCGCGATGGAGTGTCGAAGAATCAACCCGTAGAGAGCACTTGATCCTTGTGCGGATCAAGGGGGAGCTACACCCTTGCACGGGTGCTCCAACGAGGACTAGTGGGGAGTGGCGACTCTCCGACACCTCGGCAAAATATCGTCGCGTTCCTCCTTCTTTATTTACTTTGAGCATTTACTTTGAGTATTTCCTTTGAGTAATTACTTTGAGTATTTACATTGAGCAATTCAATTCTTGTCTTTACAATTCATAGAATTGCCATGCTAGAGTAGGATTGGAACTTAGGTTGCAAGTCATTTGTGCGGTAAAACTAGAAACATTTTTTAGGCACAAGGGGTTAATTTGGCTAACCGTAGGATTTAATTATTGCAAAGAAATTTAGAATTAGCCTAATTCATCCCTCCTCTTGGGCATCTTGATCCTTTCAATTGGTATCGGAGCCTTGTGCTCACATATTTAGGCTTAACCGCCTAGTGAAAGATGTCTCACGGGGATGGACCTCCTCCTATCTTTGAGGGGGACGATTTTCCATATTGAAAAATTCGCATGGAGGCGTATCTAGAAGCTCTAGATGTTGGAATACTTAGAGCCGCCTCACAAGGGTTCTCAAAACCTCGGGATGCCGCACACTCGCAAGGCGATGAGTTGAACTATGAAAAATGGAATGCAAAGGCTCGCAGCACCATCTTTAGAGGCCTTTGTAAAGATGTGTTCAACCGGATGAGGAACCACAAAGACGTCCATGCACTATGGTCGGACGTTTGTGCGCTCCATGAGGGAACAAAGAGTGAGCGTGAGTAACGCTATCATCTTGTCATGAAAAAGCTCGACTATTTTGAAATGCTTCATAAAGAATGTGCTAATGAAATGTATTCACTTTTGAATGCTCTTGTAGAGGAAGTCAATGGGCTTGGACTCACTCAAATGCAACCATTCGATGTTGTAAGAAAATTTTTGAGTGTCCTCCCCATTGACAAATATGGGCATATTGTGACCGTGCTACATCAAGGTGATCTTTCCACCGCTACACCGACACAAATCTTAGGGAAGATCAATGCTCATGAGATGTACATGCACATCACACCTCAAGATGGCTCATCCTCTACAAAGAAGAAAGAAAAAGACTTAGCATTCAAAGCTAGCCAAGAGAAGAGCAAAGCAAGGCTTGAGTATGAGAGCTCAAGTGATGATGAAGTTGATGATGAAAGCCTTGCTCTCATGGTGAAGAAAACCACCAAGATGCTAAAGAAGCTCAACAAGAGTGGCATCAAGTTCGATGGCAAGAAGAAGAAGTTCTTCACAAGCTCAAGAAGAAAGCCAATCTCCGAGATGGATTGCTACAATTATGGAGAACTTGGTCATCTAGCTCACCAATGCACAAAGCCCAAGAAAGACAAGTTCAAAAACAAGAACAAGGGCAAAAAAGATGACTCAAGCAATGAAGATGAAGATGAGAAGAAAAAGAACAAGCCATACAAGAAGAGAGATGGTAAGAAGGACTTCCACAAGAAGAAGAAGAGTGGAAAGGCTTACATCGTCGGTGATTGGCTCATGGACATTGATTCATCTAGTGGATCATCCGATGATGATAATGACGACGAGAAGGTGTCCGCTATTGTTATTGATTCTTCATCATCTTCACCGCCATCATCCTCTACACACCTATGCCTTATGGCCAAAGGTGAACAAAAGGTATCACATGATGATGATAGTAGTGGTGATGATCATGCTCATAATGATGATAGTGATAGTGATAGCGATGATGATGAATATGAATCACCTTTTTATGATGATCTTGCTAAATTGCTAAAGAAATACACTAAGATCATTATAAAGACTAGAGCTAAAAATGAAAAGCTTGAGATTAAGAATGATTCTCTTTTAGTTAAATGTGATGTAGCGGAAAAGGCGAATGTTGAGCTTAGAGAAGCAAATGATGCTATGTCATCCAAACTCAAGGAGCTCAAATCTTTTAAGATAGAGCTTAAAGATAAATATGATAAACTTGAGTGGGTGCACAATGAGCTCATCACTAGCCACAACAAGCTAAAAGATGAATATACTACTCTTAAGATTAATCATGATAATCTTGTTATTGCTCAAGAATTTCTATCCAATGAGCCACATGATGCTACTAACCATGTTGTTAAGATTGATATAGCTACATCATGTGATGACTTGATCATTGAGAGCATTGAGCAAGGTTCTAGTAGCAAGGGCAAGCAAGTGGTTGAGGCCGATGATTATGATGAGTTTGTCAAGCTCAAGAATGACAATGCAAAGCTCAATAAAGATCTTGAAGAAATCAAAAGCCACAACACCATTGTGCTAGAAACTCTTGATCATGATGGTGACTTGATCCTTGAGAATGAGAAGCTCAAAGAAGAAAACAAGAAGCTCAAGGAAGAGAATAACAATGATGCTCTTAAGGAAGAGAACAAGAAGCTCAAGTTGGAAAAAGAGCATCTCAAAATTGGATTGAATAAGTTCACTAGAGGCAAGTATCTTCAAAGTGAGCTCCTAATGAATACCGTCATGAAGATGGATAGAAGTGGCATTGGGTTACATGGCAAATCAAGAGAAGAAGAAGGCTCAAGCTCAACAATAACAATTAAAGCCAAAGCCAAAGCCAAAGAGATGCTTTGAGTGTGGACAAGAAGGTCACTTTGCTCATGAATGCCAAACTCCACCACCACAACCCTTGCCAAGCATGCTAGACCCTTTGCCTTCAATGCTCACTACATGCTTAGAAAGGATTCTAGTGGAAAGATAAAAGTAATGTTCTTAGGACCTCCTAATAAGAATAGGCCTAAAAAATTTGGGTTGCAAAGTCACTTATTGAGAAGGTGAAGGGCCCTCAACAAGTTTGGGTTCCTAAAGCTTCATCTCTTGTGTGTAGGTGAACTACAAGACCGGTGGAAGTCATTGGGTTATTGATAGTGGTTGCACACAACATATGACCGGTGATCCTCATATGTTCACCTCACTAGATGAAGAAGTAGATGGACAAGAAAGAATCACATTTAGAGATAACTCAAAGGGCAAGGTTAAAGGATTGGGCAAAGTGGTTATATCAAATGATCACTCAATCTCCAATGTGCTATATATTGCTTCATTGAGCTTCAACTTGTTATCCATTGGGCAATTGTGTGATCTTAGCTTCCAATGCTTGTTTACCGAGAAGGAAGTTGTTGTATCTAAGAAGGATGATGAACAAGTAATATTCAAAGGATTTAGATACAACAACCTATATCTAGTGGACTTCACCTTCGAAGATGCAAATTTGAAGACTTGCCTATTCACCAAAACAACACTTAGATGGCTATAGCATAGAAGACTTGCTCATGTTGGGATGAGCTCACTCAAGAAGCTAATGAAGAATGATTTGGTAAGAGGGTTGAAGGATGTGAAGTTTGAAAAAGACAAGCTTTGTAGTGCATGTCAAGCCGGCAAGCAAGTTGCAAATACTCATCCAACCAAAGCTTTCATGTCAACCACAAGAGTGCTAGAACTCCTTCACATGAATTTATTTGGACCAACAACATACAAGAGTTTGGAAGGAAATATTTATTGTCTTGTGATAGTTGAAGATTATTCAAGGTATACATGGGTATTCTTTCTACATGACAAATCCGAAGTTGCATCTTGCTTCAAGAAGTTTGCCAAGAGAGCTCAAAATGAATTTGAAGTGAAACTCAAAAAGATTAGAAGTGACAATGGCAAAGAA